AGCCCCACCTGCCTGCTCCTGGCCCATATCCCTTCTAACCTTTCCTATTCATGTATCTATGCAAATGTCTTTTAAATGTTGTAATTGTACCTGCCTTCACCACTTCCTCAGGACATTCATTCCACACGTGAACCACCCTCTGTGTAAAAAATTTGCCTCTTATGTCTTTTTAAAATTTCTCTCCTTTCAACTTAAAAACGTGCCCCGTAGTCTTGAAATCTCCCATCCCAGGGAAAAGACAACTACCATTAACCCTAACTGTACCTCTCATTACTTTATCAACTTCTATCAGGTTGCCTCTCAACCTCTAATGCTCCAGTGAAAAAAGTCCCAGCCTATCCAGCCTTACTTTATAACTCAAACCTCCCATATCCGGCAACATCTTGGGAAATCTCTTCTGAACCTTCTCCAGCTTATAATATCCTTCCTATAATTGGGCAACCAGAACTGGACACTGTATTCCAGAAGAAACCTCACCAATGTTCTGTACAACCTCAACATGACTTCCCAACTCCTATAGTCAAAGGATGAGCAATGAAAGCAAGCATGCCTAATGCCTTTTTAACCACCCTGTCTATATGTGATGCAAACTTCAAAGAATTATGTATCTGCACCTCCAGGTTCTTATGTTCTACAATACAGCTCAAGTCCCTACCATTAATTGTACAACCCCTACCCTTGTTTGTGTACCAAAATGCAATACCTCGCATTTATCCAGATTGAACTCCATCTGCCATTTTTCAGCTCATTGACCCATTTGATCAAGATCCCTTTGGAATCTTTTAGTAAAGCAGTGCTTTATGGGCAAATGCAGTGAGAAATGAGACATTTAAGAAATAATATATTTTAGAATAAGTATAGAAATATATAATAAAAATTTATAGGATTAACAAAAGACAACATCAACAGAGAAACTCTTTCCTTTCTCGCTCCAGAAATATGCAAACAGTGCCTGGAAATGTCAGTGTCTCTTAGGTCTGTGTTTCAGGTTGACATTCCTAAGTTGTTCGGATAATACTCTCTCTAATCCTTGTCTATACAAGTGTTTGGAAACTGCCAGGAAATGACCTACAGCATGACCAAAACTAAAACGCTGGCCTCAAGCTGAGTGATGGACATTAGGGGGAGGTGGCCATTCTAATATCACGTCAGAAAGGGTCAAATGAGTGATTGACATGAATTAACTACCAATCTCTGGAAATAAAGTATATAAATGAGCCCTCACTAGGAGTCAGTCCTGGTCAAGCAGCGGACTTCTTTGGATGGAGGCTGAACGAGTAAAGACGGAGCAAGACTAAGGGAAGAGTCCGCTAACACTTTGGTTAGAAAGCAGAAAGCTGCCATCGCAAGCTACTGAGATCAACACACTATACCAATCGTGCACTCATCCTCTGGTATCAGCTAATTGCTCTCAACCATCGCAAGTTGTAATTATTTCCTGATTATTTAGTTAATGTATCATATCTAAACAGCAATTTCTTAATAAAATTAATAGATTATGTTAAAATAACTTGCCAATAGTCAACTGCCTATCTTAACTATCGATGGCTCCTGAACCAAAACTTTAATGTCAAACTCAGAATACATTATGCCAACTCTCTTGAATTTCTGGGCAGAAGCTTTGTAAATGATACCATGAATGCTTGAATAATTTTTAACCAGAAATGGATGAGAATCAACCTTAACAAATGTATAATCAAACAACTTATTTCTGGTTTCAACATCCAACTGTCTGCTGTGGTTGAGGAGGACTGTAGATAACATAATCCAGTAAGGTATCTTTACTGAATGATGCGTGGTCTTTGTGTGATCTCGAAGCAGTGTACTATTTAGCTTCAGACTCATGTTCATGGGATCATAGAAATTAACAGTATCCCAATAGAGTCATAGTCATACAGCATGGAAACAGACCTTTCGGTCCAACTCGATCAGGTTTCCCAAACTAAACTAATCCCATTTGTCTGTTTTTGGTCCATATCCCTCTAAACCTTTGCTATTCATGAACCAGTCCAAATGTCTTTTAAATGTTCTAATTTTACCCGCCTCCACCACTTCCTCTGGCAGTTCATGCCATATTCGCACCACCCTTCATGTGAAAAGGTTGCCCCTCAGGTCCCATTTAAATCTTCCCCTCTCACCTTAACCCTTTGCCCCCTTGTTTTGGACTCCCTTACCCTAGGGAAAAGACCTTGGCTATTCATCCCATCTATACCCCTCATGATTTTATAAACTTCTATAAAGGTTATCCCTCAACCTCCTACGCTTCAGGGAAAAAAAGTCCCTGTCTATCCAGCTTCTCCCAGTAACACAAACTCTCTGGTCTTGGTAACATTCTTGTAAATCTCTTCTGCACCCTTTCCAGTTTAATAACATCCTTCCTACAGCAGGGTGACCAGAACTGCATGCAGTACACCAAAGGTGGCCTTACCAATGTCCTGTACAACCACAACATGACGCCCCATCTGCTAGACTCTGACCAATGAAGACAAGTGTACCAAATCCCTTCTTCATCACTCTGTCTACCTGCGGTGCCATTTTTAAAGAACTATGTACCTGAATTCCTAGGTCTCTCTGTTCGACAACACTCTCCAGGGCCCTACCATTTAATGCATAAGTCCTGTCCTGATTTGTCTTAGAAAAATACAACACCTCGCATTTATCTTAATTAAATTCCTTCGGCCACTCCTCAGCCCATTGGCCCAGCTGATCAAGGTCCCATTATACTCTTAGATAACCTTCTTCACAGTCCACTACACCACCAAGTTTGGTTTAATCCACAAACTTACTAACCATTCCTCCTATATTCTCATCCAAATCGTTTACTTAAATGATAAACAATAGTGGACCCAGCTCTGATCTTTGCAGAACACTGCAGGTCTCCAGTCCAAACAACAACCCTCTACCACCAGTCTCTGATTCCTACCTTCAAGCCAATTTTGCATCCCAGTGCCTACCACTCCCTGGATCCCTTGTGATCTAACCTTACTAACCAGTCTGCCATGCGGAACCTTGTTGAATGCCTTGCTAAAATCTATGTAGACAATGTCTATCACTTTGCCCTCATCTGTCCTCTTGGTCATGTCCTGAAAACAACTCAAATCAAGTTGTGAGACATGACTTCCCATGCACAGACATATGCTGACTATCTCTGATCAGTCCATGTCTCTCCAAATGCATGTAAATCTTGTCTTTCAGAATCCCCTCCAACAACTTTCCCACAATGGATGTTAGGCTCACCAGTCTATAGTTCCCAGGCTTTTCCTTGCAGCCTTCCTTAAATAAAGGCACAACATTCGCCATTTTCCAGTCTGTCAGCACTCCACCCGTGGCTGTAGATGAAAAACATCTCTGCTAGGGGCCCTGCAATCTCTTCCCTAGCTTCCCAAATGTCCTGGGATACATTTGATCAAGTCCTGGGGATTTATCCACTTTTGTTCATTTTAAGACTCCAGCACCTCCTCTTCTGTAATGTGGACTCTCTTCAAAATATCACTATTTATTTCTCCAAGTTCCCTAGCTTCCGTGTCTTTCTCCACAGTCAATTCTGACACAAAATATTGGTTTAATATCTCATCCATTTCTGGTCACTCCACACATAGACGGCCTTGTACATCTTTAATGGGCCCTATTCTCCCCTTGTTACTCTTTTGGCCTTAATGTACTTGTAGAATCGCTTTGGATTCTCCTTAACCTTATCTGCCAAAGCTATTTCATATACCCTTCTTACTCTCCTAATCTCCCCCTTTTGTATACTCCTACACTCACTACATTCTTCAAGGGATTCACTTGATCCCAGCTGTCTATACCTGACAAATGCCTCTTTCTTTTTCGTGAGCCTCAATATCTCTAGTAATCAGTGATCCCTACTCCTAATAACCTTGCCCATCATTCTAACAGGAATATACTGTTTGTGAACTTTCTTTATCTCACTTTTGAAAGCCTCCCACTTGCCAGTCATCCCGTTACCTGCAAACAGCTGACCCCAATCAACTTTTGAAAGTTTCTATCTAATATCATCAGAATTGGCTTTGCTCCAATTTAGAACTTTAACTTTTATACAAGGCCGATCCTTTTCCATAACTATTTTAAAACTGATAGAATTATGATAACTGGTCCCAAAGTGCTACCCCACTAACTTCGCAGTCACTTGCCCTGTTTTATTTGCCAAAAAAAGTTCAAGTTTTTCTCCTTTTCTATTAGGTACATCAACATATTGATAAAGCCAATTTTCTTGAAGGCAGTAAGACAATGACGGTTCTGAGCAGGTCAGAACTTAAAAGCAAAATGGACTTCTCTTTAAGCTAAATCTTTTCATTTTTCTCATTTTCTGAAACTATCAAAATAGTGCTACATTGTGCTGATGCACTTTATTCCATTTATAGAGTCATAGAGCTTCTCACTGTAAAACAAACGTGATAATAAAATCATTCATTCATGAACAAATTCCTCCCTATCCAAGCCCTTAACACTATGGCAATCCCTGACTATGTTTGAAAGTTAAAATGCCCTACTATTACGACACTATTATTCTTACAGATATCTGAGATCTCCCTTAATATTTGCTCCTCAATTTCCTGCTGACTATTTGGGGGCCTATAGTACCATCCCTTTTCGGGATTGTACAACCCCCTTCTTATTTCTCAGTTCCACCTATATAGCTCCACGGGACAATCCCCCATTAATATCCTCTCTAAGTATGGCAGTTATTTTTTCCCAAACAAAAAACACCACTCCCCCTACTCTCTTGCCTCCCTTTCTATCGTTCCTATAACATCTATACCCTGGAACATGGAGGTCCAAGTCCTGTCCCTCTCTCAGCCGTGTCTCTGTAATAGCTATGACATTCCAGTTCCATGTTCCCAAACGCTGAAACCTAGTAAATACTATATTCATCTGTATTTGGAATTATTAAAAGCATTAGTACACAAAACAAATTTTGATTCTCATTTGCATATTCATGCTGAAATGTTAGGTTCAGTATATAAGCAATAAAAACTTACCCAGTAAAGAGTAACTATGATTGTAGGTGGGGTTGTCATCATCATCGAAGTTGGTAACTTCCATTTTCAACTTTCAAAAACACGCCTCTCTTGCTACAGTATGTTATAGCAATTCACACGTTAAGTGGTTAGTTTATACATGCAATGTTAGTAAACAAGGTGCATTGAAATTTAAGGGAGCATACACTTACTATTACATTTTGCAAACTTACAAATTTCAATGTATACAATTTATTAAGAAATCAATGTTAATTGTGAATTAAACATCAACATTCTCTTTAAAGATAAAATTGGTCTCAGTGCCATCATTGTATGCACAAAATACAAAAACAATATTGTAAATAAGCAAAATGTAACAAAAGCCAAACTACGAACTGAAATGGAGTGACAAACTTTGTTAAATTGAAGGGCAGAAGCCACTGATTTGAATTTTAAAATCTTAAAATCACTTTACAACATAATTCCTATGTTCATGAACATCTGTATTCAATTACAAAAAAGGTAGGTACCTTTAAGTTGTATTCTTTTCAGAAATGAGTAAGAAAACAAGAATTTACGAACATATTTGTTTTATTGATGGCACCTCAGCCGACCAATATCGTTGCATGAATAATGCAATAGCTCGTGAAATCTCCCATTATAATCCTAAATTACAAACGCAATTGGTTGAGCGCTTTACAGCAAAGGAAAATTCAAGGGTGTTAAATTACTTAACCTCACATGGTAGATATTTCAGAAGGAGTTATGTGATATGTTCGGAGAAGGTTACAGTTCAGATGGCTGTGGTGGCTAGAAACGCTAAAATAAGATTAGATGACATCATTTCATCAAACGTTATATTTTGTTTTCACTGATGTTTCCAATTTAGTTAAAGGTTAAGCATTTTTATGTTATATGGGATACATATGCATTTGGAAATAACATGCAAAACATTGAAAACATCAGCACGAATACCAACGACAAAAACAACCCGAATAGCAAGTGTACTAAGAGTTGCTAATTGCCAACGGCCAAAAGTCGCAAAACGTGTTTTATTCAACATGCATGTACGTTCACATGCGTTATAAATAAATAGTATGTATGTACAGCACATACTGTGTTAGATGACAAGACTTAGACGAAGATAGCATCAAATGGAAAAGTTAAACCAAACAAGCTCAGTGCTCACTATCAAGCATGGAATGTAAAATATCACATCACCATTAATAATTTCTCAGTCATGCTACCTATTTATTTGCAAACCTGTACGTTTCGATCGGGATCTGAAATCTGTCAATATCCAGCGCAGGTCGTCCATATTGGATAGAATAAGGCAGTATCGCGCGACATTGTCGCGAAGTCCACCTGACACCTAAACTTTTCGAAATAATTCAAATCAACATCTTTTTAAAATACATACATGTTTTATTTTCTATTAATTAATATTTTGATATGCCCTTTTTTTGCACCCGTTGTGCTTGGTGAGGTGCCATGGTTTCCGGCCGAAAAGCAGGTTGTACTGGGTTGCTGGGAGATGGTGACGGTGCCGGTATTGCTTCCTCTCCCTTCCTCTGTCTGTGGCCGGCCATGGGCCCCTCTGGTATTATCTGTCATATCTTCGCTGTCGTATGCCTTCTCCGCTGGCGTTCTGCTGTCTCCGCTCTGCAAGATGTCACTGCCGAGCTGTTCGGGTCTGAAGCCTGGGGAACCGTGGCTGCATTTGGAGACTTTAACGCAGACAAACAGACCGACATTTTTCTCATCAGATCTAGTGAGTAGTCCTAACCAGCAAAGGTAGGACTGGTTCTTGTGTTTATTGTATAAAGTTGGTAGGTGAGCAGCGGATGTTTGTTTCTTTTTGTTGTTGTTGCTTTTCTCATTTGTTTATAATTAATCTGGCAACTATCAAAATATTTTGCAACAATTCAGAAATTTCAAAGGATGTTTTTCTGAGTGTTTAATTTACTCATCAACAAGGTATTATCCTTTAATTTCGTGTGACTAGATGGGCTCGGTTAACAAGGAAGTTTTTTTATTTTCATTGTTGAGATGTTTGAGACCAACTTTTTGTTAAAGTTCCTCAATATCTCAGTTGCAACAAGCAATAAATCGATTTACTATTAACTTAAAGGGTGTATTCTTATGGTTTCTGTTTTTGCCAACTTACATTGACTCCATGTCTCTCAATGGGCTTGTGAAATTAGGGTAACCTGCGGGATCCTCCATCCCTCTGAAACTTAATCCTGCATTATCAGTACATTTTTCTAATTCCAAATTCTTGTGAAACAAAAGTTCAAAATTAGATTTTTCAAAATGTAACTACATTTTTGAACTTACCATATGTATTTTGTGGAAACTGTGATTTTTGTGCTTTTGCTGTTTAATTTCTGTCATTTCAGTCAGGAAGAACATTATGAAGTGAACTTTGAAGGTGGTAAGACAGGTGGAGAGAGCAGTTAAAAAAGCATACAGTGTACTTGACTTTATTAATGAGGGCAGAGATTACAAGAGTAGGGAGGTGTTATTGAACTTGTACAAGACACTATTTAGACCTCAATTGGAGTATTGTATAAACTTTTGGGTTCAACATTATAGGAAATGGGCGAATGCATTAGAATGAGTGTAGACGCAATTTACAAGAAGAATTCCAAGAATGATAAACTTCAGTTATGAGGATAGATTGAAAAAAAAAAAAGTTGGGACTCTTCTCCTTAGAGAGAAGAAGGTTGCGTGGAGATTTTATAGAGGTTTCCAAAGTCCTTAGCGGAATGCATAGAATAGATAAGATGAAACTATTTCCACTTAGGAAGAAAAATGAAAGCATCAATTTTTAAAATATGCAAAAGAAGCAAGGGTAACGTGAGTAAAATTGTTTTCATGCAGCAAGTAGTTATGGTATGGAATGTGATGGAGGTAGGTTCAATTGAGGCATTTGAGGGCATTGGATCATTATTTTGATAGACATGTATTGCCAGGGATATTATGAAAAGGCAAAAGGTTGACACTAGACAGTAGAACCTGTGCAGGCACAATAGACCAATGGTCGTCTTCTGCCCTGCAACAGTTCTGTGATGTTGTGAAGTGCCAGAGGAAATAGTTAACATCTTGTAACTTTTCTTAACATTAATCCAGCATATAAAATGATAAGCATGGTCTTAAAATTTCTTGTTCTTCCTTCTGAAATATATCATTTGACACTACTGAATTAGATCTGCCTGTCAACTGTGTCCATACATTTCACAAACCTGATTCTATCCTCTTGAAGTCTATCCCGAACCTTCTCAGTCCATATTGCCTCCAAGTATTGTGTCGTCGTAAACTTTGAAACTTTGTCTGCACACTGTCTATTATCATTCATACAGAACAAGAAAAAAACAATAATACTAATGTCTATTCATAGGAAACCTCTCAGTATACTTTCCTCATGTCTGAAAGGCAACCTTTTGCCGCTACTGTTTTCTACCTCTCAGCCAAGGTCTTGATGGTTTTGCATGACAGCATTGCAGTGATTATGCAGCTTCTAAAATGGATATCCCAATGGTTCTATTCCATTTCTAAAGATTTGAGAAAATTGAAATGCATTAGGTCTAATATGTTTGTATGGTTTATTAATGTACATGACTGCAATAGTTGTTGTAATAATGTGGAATTAACAATGCCACCCACTTCACTGTAACAGAGATTTAAACTTAAAAGTGTCATTCAACTCTGATTTCTAACCTGAACATTTAAGTTACTTCACAGTATACCCTGGCATTGCTGCATAGTTTAATTCTTCCAAATTTAAACTGTAATCTTTGTGTAATTTCCACACCACCAATTCTACTTGATGTAAAGTAGGACAGACTGGATCTAAAAGTTAAAGCTCTAAATTAGAGGAAGGCCGATTTTTTTCACAGTATTAAGCAAGAACTTTCAAAAGTTGACTGGGGGCAGAGGTTCGCAGGTAAAGGGACGACTGGAAAATGGGAAGCCTTCAGAAATGAGATAATGAGAGTCCAAGGACAGTATGTTCCTGTTAGGGTGAAGGGCAAGTATGGTAGGTTTTAGGGAATCATGGATGACTAGACAAATTGAGGCTTTGGTCATGAAAAAGATGGATGCATATGTCAGGCATAGACAGCAGAAATTGAGTGAACCCTTAGAGTATAAATGCAGTACGGGTACACTTAAGAGAGAAATCAGAAGGCCAAAAAGGGGACATGAGTGCTTTGGCAAATAAGGTTAAGGAGAATCCACAGGGATGTTATAAATACATTAAGGACCAAAGGGTAACTAGGGAGGGAATAGGGCACCTTAAAGAACAGAAAGGCCACCAATATGTGGAACCACAGGAGTCATAGAGATATACAGCACTGAAACAAACCCTTCAGTCCAACTCATTGCTGACCAGATATCCTAAATAACTCTAGTCCCATTTGCCAACATTTGGCCCATATCCCTCTAAACCTTCCTATTCAGAAACCCATCCAGATGCCTTTTCAACATTGTAATTGTACCAGCCTCCACCACTTCCTCTGGCAGTTCATTCCATACACACACCGCCCTCTGCATGAAGAAGTTGGCCCTGAGGTCACTTTTAAATCTTTCTCTTCTCACCTTAATCCTATGCCATCTAGTTTTGGATTCCCCCACCCCGGGGAAAATACCTTGTCTGTTTACCCAGTCTACTCCCCTCATCTTTTATAAACATCTATAAAGCCACCCCACAGCCTCGGATGCTCCAAAAAAAGTAGCCCCAGTCTATTCAACCTCTCCCTATAGTCCAAGCCCTCCAACCCTGACAACATTCTTGTAAATTGTTTCTGAACTGTTTCAAGCTTCACAACATCCTCCCAAACCAGGGAGAACAGAATTGCATGCCGTATTCTAATAGTGGCCTAAAGAGAGTCCTGTACAACTGCAACATGATCTCCCAACTCCTATACTCCATGCATTGACCAAGAAAAGCAAGCATAACAATCGCCTTCCTCATATTCCCTATCTACCCGTGACTCCACTTTCAAGGAACTATGAGATGGGTGAAATACTAAATGAGTATTTTGCATCAGTGTTTACTGTGGAGAAGGATACGGAAGATAGAAAGCGTGGGGAAATAAATAGCAACATCTTGAAAAATGTCCATATTGCAGAGGTAGTGGTGCTGGACGGCTTAACATGCATAAAGTTGGATAAATCCCTAGGACCTGATGAGGTGTACCCTAGAATTCTGTGGGAACTTAGGGAAGTGATTGCTGGGCCCCTTGTTGAGATATTTATATCATCAATAGCCACAGGTGAGGTGCCAGAAGACTCAGTTGGCAAACGTGGTGTCACGGTTTAAGAAAGATGGTAAGGGAAAGTCATAAGGGAACTATAGACTGGAAAGCTTGACGTCGGTAGTGGGCAAGTTGTTGGAGCGAATCCTGAGAGACAGGATTTACATG